CCAACCAACACTTGCATGCCAAGTGTTCAATGCACTCACATGGCCAGTTCGCCCGACTCAGCATTTCATCATGGAGACCAGCACTTCATCACGCCTAACAGGGAGTCCAGCTTTCCATCACGCCCAACAGGGAGGTCAGCATTTCATCACGCCCAACAGGGAGTCCAGCTTTCCATCACGCCCAACAGGAAGTCCAGCTTTCCATCACGCCCAACAGGAAGTCCAGCTTTCCATCACGCCCAACAGGGAGTCTAGCTTTCCATCACGCAACAGGGAATTTCATCACGCCCAACAGGGAGGTCAGCATTTCTCTCCCAACATGGAGACCAAGCTCTCATCCCGCCCAACAGGGAGTCAAGCTTTCCATCACGCCCAACAGGGAGGCAAGCAATTCATCACGCCTAACAGGGAGTCCCACTTTCCATCACGCCCCAGGGAGGTCAGCATTTCATCACGCCCAACAGGGAGTCCAGCTTTCCATCACGCCCAACAGGGAGGTCAGCATTTCATCACGCCCAACAGGGAGTCCAGCTTTTCATCACGCCCAACAGGGAGGTCAGCATTTCAGCTCTCCCAACATGGAGACCAAGCTCTCATCTCGTCCAACAGGGAGACCAGCATTCGATCCCGCCATCAGGAAGGCCAACATTCATCAACAAACTAAAAGCTATCCAATCAACATGTATATGCCAAGTGTCCAATGACACTCACATGGTCAGGTTTTATTTTCAGCAATAACATCTCGTCATATATATGATTCTTTTTGGTCATCCTCTCGTTTGATTATAAAATTCATTTGAGCTATCTAATAATTAACGGACACGAAGTCCTTTTACAAATTTTCTATTCCCACACACGCCTTGAAGCTCGGGAAAAGAAAGTGCACCTGGACTAGAATCTCTCGCCCTGCTGGACTTTAATATCTCGCCTTGATGCTCGTGCAGAGCAAAGCAAATGCACAATCCAAATTCTTCATCATACTGGGGGACCCGTAAGCATTCAAGACATTGAGTAAGGCCTTTTATTTTTACTGGGAGCATATGAGTTTAGTAGTAAATGCAAACGAATTTTCTTTGGAGAATTCAATCAATCTTCCCGTGGGACCCGCCATCTTCAAAAGCAATATAGGAAAAATTTCTTATAGTACTTGTTAAAGCAAATCACTTGTTAAAGCAAAAAGGGAGAATTCAAAGCTTCTGAGGCATGATTATATAACCATGTAAATGCCTGCTCTCGAAATACATGCGAGAAGAAAAAGCAAGTTTGCAATACAATCCAATATCCCGCAGTGACCTTCCTGATCCACGTGAGATTTAATTTCCCAAAGGCGTGGTGGAGGAGTAAACTCACTTGTAGCACAATCACTCAAGGCAGTCAAGTTGCAAATTATCAAACCAACATTTACACGTCAAAGTATTCAACTACATTCACATTATCAGGTTTTATTTTCAATACCTGGTAATAACATATCTTCACTAGCATATACATGTTTCTTTCTACCGCATCTTTATAAATTTCATATGATTATAAATGTCATATGAATTGCTTAAACAATCTACGAAGGCCAGGACGGTTCTCACCCCTGGTATACTATGAAGGCCGGGACGGTTCTCACCCCTGGTAATTACGAAGGCCGGGACGGTTCTCACCCCCGGTATACTATGAAGGCCGGGACGGTTCTCACCCCCGGTAATTAAGAAGGTCGGGACGGTTCTCACCCCCGGTACACTATGAAGGTCGGGACGGTTCTCACCCCCCGTATACTATGAAGGCCGGGACGGTTCTCACCCCCGGTAATTAAGAAGGTCGAGACGGTTCTCACCCCCGGTACACTATGAAGGCCGGGATGGTTCTCACCCTCGGTTAATAAAGTCCGAGATGTGCTACCCCTCGGCAAAAGTCCTAGATGGACGGCGCTTGGCCAACGCCCCATCTAGGCACATTTTTATCGTCATTTATACACAACTATACTAGTTGTTGCAAGATTTAAATTGGAGCAACCGGACATCAAAGACCCAAGTCACTATGCTTTATTTATTATACACTCATATCGCCAGCAAGTTTTATTTCTGAAGAATGGAGCATACATATCTATCATCTATGAAGACTCTAAGTCTCTTTCTCTCTTTGAACACATTATCTTCTCCAAAAGCTTTCATCTACTACATTATTTGTCACTAGCGAGATTTATTTCTGAAGAAAGGAGCATATATATTTATCATCAGGATCTTCATCACCTCTCTCTCTTGGAACAATTATCCTCTCTAGAAGCTTTCATCTACAACATTATTTTATTATTATCATATGGTGAAGACATCTTTATTTCAGCTGTTAAAATCCCAAGGCTGCTTGATTTCACATGGGCGTTATTTATCATACATTCATATCACCAATGAGTTTTATTGCTGAAGAAGGGAATATACATATTTATCATGAGGATCTCCATCACTCTCTATTTTGGAAGACATTATCCTCTCCAGAAGATCTCATCTGCTACTTTATTTTCTCACGGAGCTCGGATCTGCAATCCTATCGACTTTATTTTATCAGATCATCAAGACATTCTTATTCGAGTGGTCAACATCTTCAGGCTATTTGCTTCAACATGGGCTCGCCAACTTATTCTTACAATTGAATTATTACTACAACAACATTTAAAGACCTTCCTCAATAACAAAACGCATCTTCGATGACAACAAAGTTCAGCACAATTGCAAGTCATAATAGAAGATTCTCTTGAAGCACTTAAGTATCGCCGGTCAGACAATTCATACTCGACGACAACAAATAAACAACTCATGAAGGTCGACGTATTACCGATCGGTTACACTATATCCTTCTTAGAATACTGCACACTACAAGCAACCAGCTTAAGCTGCCATACATCTTGGCACCCTTGCTTCGCAAAGCTACCAAGCTGGGGGGCTCCTGTTCCGGATGCTATTTACTTAGGCCCACCAGATGGGCCCAATCGCATAAAGGCCCACTTCTAGAAGGCATCATAGGATGCCCCCTCTTCCCCATGCACCAGCTGCCCCTGCACAAGGGCAGGGGTTCAGCATGCCTAGCCTGAAAAGGCTAGGCTGACTAGGTTGACTAGAGTTCTTGCTCTAAATACCCCCCTCTCACATTGAGAGGAGGACTTCTTCTTCTCCACTCAGCCTCTACGGCTGTGACTATGGAAAGTTACCTTAGCCACTTCCACACACACCCCCCTTTATGCACCATGGGAAGCTCCATTAGTGCTTGGTCTTTACCATTGCCACTATGGACACCCCCTATATCAACATACTTCACCCTCACGGGAGACATCTATGTACCACCATGAGTACAGGATCAATATTGCTATTTCCATGGATAAGTATCAAGCTAAGCATATGTGCGTAGGATAATAATCAAATAACTTGAAATCAAAAGAAGCCATTGTATTCTGAATCTATATTTCGTGTACTTCAATGTTGCTTTAAGATTTTGCAATTACTAGATCATTGAAATTTAACTTTCTCAAAAGATTATTGAAAATTAGTAATAGACTTATCTTCAGCTTTCACTGCTTTTCCTCCATTCGCATCAGCTAAACAATACAATGACATCATTATTCATTATACCTGATATTCGAATTAGAGAAGAATGAACAATCATGTGGATATTAGAAAAGTTAGAAGAAATTACGGAATCAATAAAATCTTCTTTAAAGGAGATAACTTCCTAGAAGATAAGAGAGTCAAATTAGGACTTGGATCTAAGCCATTGAAGTTGAGAACAGACTAAGAAAAAACTTGCACAAATAATTATTGTCCTTGATATGATGTTAAGATTCAGCCTTACTATGAGACTTCGGCTTTGTAATACTAATTGCAAATTTAGTGATCTGCATGCAGCAGATTGGCTAAAATCCTTTGTTATAAAAATCATCGTATATAAGAAGTTAATTTTTTGCCAGATACATGACAATCAGAACCTTAACGCTATAAAAACACAAAAAAAAGATTCCTTTTTTAGCAAAGAATTACATTCTTAATCTGTGTGAACCATAGCGTGATATATAGAAAGAGAAAACATGACCAAATGAGAAACAAAAATTCAAATTTACATCTCCCCCGCATGGTGGTTAAAATTTAACAAAAAATGGGCAGAGAATGGGTACACTTTCACTCAAATTACTAATAATCATCGGTTAAGTAACTCATTCATGCCGCTACTAATAAGAAGGCAGAAATTCAGTAACTCATTCAACTCCTCAAATCTCATCCTTTATAATTCAAATGAAAGTTTACAAGTTGCAGAGCGCCTTGTGCACAAAGATAAATCTTCTATCATTTTGAGCATTGCATCTTGATTTGTGGTGAGGTTGAAAATTGTCATTGACTGTAAATGTCTTGCATTTTGCAAGATAAATCTTACAAATCGAAACTCACCCTCGGAGCCTTGATAATGATAAAGACGGCATGTTTTAAGGTGTAATGAGATGGATTCAGGAACAAATTGTGGGTACTGCCAATCTTCTTCGTATTCTTTGAATACATCTCTAACACCCTGTCAGCAAAAGACAAAAAATAAAATAAATAAAAAATATGTAAAGAAAAGATTAAAACAAAAATCATCCTTAAAAACTTAAACTTTACAGACCAGATTAATGACCAAAATTTGAAGCTTTGGGCAACGGTTGAGCATTTCTACTACCTCAAGCCAATCACTTATATAAAAAAAATAGACGAGTTCAATATGGGTTAAATTCGGAAACATGGGAATAAGGTCTTTGAAATTGAAACTGGGGTTCATATTGTCCAGCTCAGACATCTGCAATAGTTACAATTACAAACTATCAGAAACCCAATTTCCACAAAACTAAAATTAAATGACATATAAATCACATTTTCAGTACCCCTTCTATTCTCAGAAACTCTACATTACTAACTGATTCTAACGGAACATGAAGTCTATGAATATATGCTCTGACCAACTTGGGTAAGCATTTAAACTCTCCCACACATAGAGAGTCATAAAAATCCAACTGATATTCTTTCAAATACTCAAGAACTGGACATCCAGAAAGAAACTTGGCGAGATCTCTACTTTTTTTGAAAAGAATGCGGTACAAATGCAGGATTTTAAGTGAGGGAAGATGAACAGGCAAATCAGCTTTCACTGTTAGTCCCATCAACTTGAGAACCACGAGGGTTCTGCTGCTGAGAATGGCAGATGGCAAGCTCATCTTACGACCAGACATCCATTCTAAGCCCCGTTCGTCAGGCAGAGAAAGGTCGAAGTTCTCAACTCCTCGCTCTGCTGCAGCATTAATCCATACCTTGATATTGGTAGGACCGCAAAGAGAAGAATAACACTTGAGGTTGATGCAAATCTCGCGAGAATAAAACTGCATACACTGACTGAACAAAGCGGGAATAGGTCTCTTTGTTTTTGTTTTCGTAGTAGGGACGATCATCGAAGTCGAGAGTGGGAACTGAGCGCCAGAGAGGTCTCCACCTCTTAGAGAGAACACCCGTAGAAACACATAATTTGGTTGGTATAAAAGACAGAATGTAGCAAAGGACTTCGTCGGGTAAAGTGCTAATCCTATCAGGCATCTTTTGAAGTTTCATAACAAGAAAGGAAAGGAAAGGAAGGAAGCAATCTTATAAATCAGAGAATCCCACAAACGCTGCCTCTTCAATAGTCACTTCAACTTCTTCAAGACAATAACTCAGCGCCCATCGGTTTTCGAGGTTCTCTGAAGAATACGAAGAACATAGCAATTTCAAAAAATAGGCCAATAGGGATTTCTCGATTTGTGGTAGCCTAATTAAAATATGGAAAGACTTGACCGCCTTCGCATATTGTATCACTTAGCGGCTAGTCTCTCTTGAACTTATAAATAGACACTGTTCTAAACATAGTTTTGCAAGAGTAACAAGTGCTATTTTTTATAAAAGAGAAAAAAAAAAACTCATTTGGGAGTTTTTTTAATATATATATATATATAATTTTTTAAAGTTCTCATACTTATTTTTTCATTATATTCTTATTTTAATATTTTTTATAAATTTTATTATTTATCTTAATAATTTACCTTTACTGACCAGTGTTTTAAAATCTCACTCCGCCCCCGGGTTGACTCGGGTCAATCCTGACCCCTCCCCTCTGAGGGTTGGAGTCACAAGTTGGACCATATATGCATATCGACCCACAAAACCTGGCCGGGTTTCAGTGACTCCCGGATCAAAGGAGTCAAAGGGAGTCACTGCATGTTTTTGTTTTTAAAAAAAATTCATTGAAACAACATCATTTTAATAAAATAAAAATGCTTGCAAACCTAAATCTAATCGTTCTCTTCTCTTCCAATGTCCTAGACGTCTTCAATCTTCACCTCGCTGCTGTGAATCTTCTAGAAAAGGTAAGAATTTTACCCATTCAAGTGAAATCCTTATGTCGTCAATGGAAAGCAAAAACTCATTCTTACTTCCTTTAAATTTTTCTGTGTCAGGGACCTTCTCAAAAGAGGCATAACTGGGTCAGCGTAGTGACCTCGTTAGAATACAAGTTTTGTACTTTGGTATCTTCACACTTTAATTAGGTTGTGTAATATTGAATTGTGGTTGTAATTGGTGAATTATGTTAAATATATTTTGAATCTTTGATGATTGGTGTTTTGTTTTTTAATATTTTCATATAAAATGTATATATTTATATTTTTTTAATATATAAAACTTGGTCAGCGTAGTGATCCCGTGACCCTCCGGTTGAACCCGTGACCCCATGACCCCTGACCTCGGCCGGGTCGATGGCTGAGTCGGGTTTTTAAACACTATTACGACACATCATTTACGCATATTTTGTACATAATATAGGATAAGGCCTATGATAGTATAAGACCTAATATAAATATTTTGGATAAAAATATCTTTCAATAATGAATTTATATAATTCTTCCAATTATATTATATGATATTAATTTTTATAGAAATTTGTTGATTAGTGTGTCCAAAAAATATATTAATATTTATAAAAATAAAAATCTCCAATATTTTAAAAGACTATATATTGAAAAATTATTTTTTATTTTAATATATTAATATTAAAATAATATATTAATTCTTGAGAATTGATACATCACTCCCTTATCAAGCTTAATCCTACCATCCTTAAGCTTATACTATACGATGTTCATACCAAACAACTAAAAATGTTATAACGTACAGTATAAGCTTATACTATCAGATCTTATACATCACACCAAATAGGCCCTTAAGAAAAATCTACTTCTCTTCTTACCGCAGGTTCTGCGGCAAACGATTTTAACTATGTACTATGAGTAGTACATTGTTATAATGGTAAACTTATTTTTTCTCTCTCATCACATCAGCTAACAATGTCTGAGGAGAGAAAAAATAGTTTTATTATTATAACTCTGTACTACCCTAGTATATAGTTGTAATCGGTTGTTGCAAAACTTTTATTTGCAGCAACATTAGAAAAAACGCACCCATCATTTTTAAATTATCAAATAGCATTTAGTTTTATTTTTAAATTTTTTATCATTACCTTGAAAGTAGCTTTTATTCACTTGAGTTCTGTTAAAATTTTTTATTTATTTATTATAAGGCTTTAATATTTTCACAATTAATGCAGATAAGTTATTTACATTCACTCTCAAAACAACATCATTTTGGGTTAAAAAATTAAAAAATTATAATGATACTATTATAATCTTGAAATAAATTATAATTACAAAAATACCTTAATTTTCGCTCCAAAACAACGTCGTTTTGAACTTAATGCAAATAACTTGTCTGCATGTACTGCAGAAAAAATGAAGCTTTATTATAATTAATAATAACATCACTTAACACCCCCCCCCCCCCCAAAGGTAGTTCATTTGGCAAGTATGTGCCCAATTGATTGCTTTGGTCAAGGGTTCAAACCTTGGCTATAGCTAGGGATGAAAGTGGGATGGGTTGGGCCAAGCTTTGCCCTGAAATGCCCAAGCCTACGCCAAAAATTTCAATTTGGCCTGGCTCAAGCCTAGTACGAGTCTAATCGTTAGCCTGGCTTGACCCATTTATAAAAAAATAAATGTCCTGGCCTAGCCCGTTAGCCTGTTAATTTTTAACTTTCAAGCAGAACCACGAATCAACTTTATAAAATACTCAAATTCTATTGCTAAACCAAAAATCATAATTTCAACGTCCAAACGGAATAATGAACACGACAAAACTCATACAATCTGCATTTAAGTCACTTTCAAAAGCAAAATGTTCAAACTAAATAACATATATTTTATCAGATCCAACTAACAAATCTATACTATGTAAATTAAAATAACTACATGAATCCAACAAACACATCATGATGCTTGTAGTAAGTTAACCTCTCCCAAAAATCTTTTAATATATTCATATATACAATTTAGCATGCTGAGCTGTTGGTTCCTCCTACATAAGAAATAAAGTCAGATTTCAATTAAAATATAATCAAATATAATTAAGTTATAAATAATTGCAATTGATTAAGTTATAATATCGGCCGACCTGTAGGCTTATAGGCAAGGTCTTGTGAAAGTGGACCTACAACCTTTTTATTAAACAAACTTTTTCAAGGCCCAAACCCAGCTTATTCTATGAAATATACTAGATCAGGTCTGGCCTGACGTAGGCCGAGCCGTAGGCCACTATAGGCCGGCTCGGCCCAGTTTCACCCTTAGCTATAGCAATTCCTTAGAATACCTCCAATGGTAGTTCATTTGGCAAGTAAGTGCCTAAGGGATTAGTCTTATCCTTCCTCCAGTGACAGTTGTCCAATGCATCATCTCCTTTAATGAGGAGCTAGCCTTAGGGCCATATTCTGAGAGTAAAGTGGCTGGAGGAGGTTGAGGGGGGATACCTCCAGGATACATACCAAAAAAAAAATAATAATAACATCACTTAAATTTATTATAATCTTATTTTTATATATATTTGTAATTTCATGTTTTTAATAATTTTTATCCTTATTATAATGGAGAATATGTTTGTCATTTTATTTTATTTTTTTGATAACATATGTTTGTCATTTTATATCCTTATTTAAAATGACACTAGATTACCAAAAAAAATGACACTACTAGTATCATTTTTAATGAAGCTACGTCTTTTTTGTGTGTATTTGTTAGTTTTTAAAATGATAAATACTTTTTCATTATTATATTATAGGGACAGGATATACTTATCACCAAAAAAGTTCACCACCTTTACAACTAACCTAATCACTGTTGATTTCTATCAATCTAACAGTTATAATTTATTGGGAATTAATAATTAATTAATAAATGCAATCCAATATTTCCAATAAATTATAATCATTAGATTAACGAAAATCAATGGTGATTAGATTAGTTGTAAAGGTTGTAAATTTTTTTGGTGGTAAGCATATCTTTTCCCTATATTATAATCAATTAATATCATGATATAATTAAGTATTAAAGAATAAATTACAAATAACTCCAAGGGTAACTTAGTTGGCAACTGAGTGCCTGAGTATTTACTTTAAAGGTTCAAACTTTGCCAAAGCAAATTCTTAGAATTCTTTGAGGACCAGAGAGAAATCGCCTCCCCCTCGAAGAGGGATTAGTGGGGGTGTTCACGGTCTTGATTGGATCGATTTTGAAGCAAAAATTCGAATGATGGGCAATTTTTTTCAAATCTTCTATCAAATATGGACAACTAGGAAACTCATCTCAACTTTGCTAGACACTCCAAAAAAACTCTCGTACCAAACACACCTTCGTTTCAACGGGTTAATGGCATGACACCCTCTTTTCTTCTTTTTCTTGCATTTCCTCTTTTCTCGGGTCCATCGAGGACATGTGTGCTCTTTCTATATGTCTATCCCCTTAACTTTCTATTTTTTAGGAACTATGTTCTCTAAGGGCTTGTTTGGTGTGACGTATAAGGCATGATAATATAAGCTTATACTAGACGTTATGACATTTTCAGTTATTTGATATGACCATTGTATAGTATAAGCTTATACAGCAGAATCCCTTAATACATCAAAACGATGTATAACTTAATCCTGCCTAAGGGGAAGGGATAAGGCCTGATAAGATATTAGTGTATTAACATCGTTGGCCAGTGCAATTTTCAAAAATTAATATATTAAAATAAAAATTAATTTTTAAAATATTGAATATTTTTAATTTTATAAAATTTTTGTTTTGGACACACTGATAAATAATTTTTTATAAAAATTAATATCATATGACATTTTTTGAAGAATTATATAAACTCTTTATTAAAGGATATTTTTATCCTATATAGTATTATACAATGCATTACTAAATATTAGATGATATTATCTTATACAATATATTATTTTATACAATACCGTGTCAAACGCTGGATAATATTAAAATTTAATCAGGCCTTATACTATTATGTCTTATCCTATACTATGCACCAAACATGCCCT